TCCTAGATTTGAATCAATGCTTTTTATTATGTTTATGTCCAAATTAGGCTTTCTTCTCAGCTTGGCCTCCGAATATTTCTTAAGGATTTTCACATTCCTATGCACATTCCCAAATGTTTCTTTATTCCAAAGTTTTAGACACTTTTTGAGGTTTCCAATTTTTTGATTTAATTGTTGTTGAACAGAGCCAAGTTGATTTTTTCCCAGGACTCTTTCAAGGCTTCCTCAAAGGTGTTATGGGAGAATCACATCTCTTTCATCTAAAAAGGCCTTTTCTTCCAATTGGATCTTTTTTCATTACTTACAAGGACAAGGAGATGGTCAGAGCCTAAGGAGATTAAGATTTTCACATGTGCTTCTTCATAGAGATTTTTCCACTACTGGTTACTAAGGGCTTTGATTAGTTTTGCTTGTATATTCCCCTCCCCTTCTCTTTTGTTTAACTAGGTAAAGTTCAAGCCATGACTTTGTAGCTCTTGAATACCACAGCCATTTAGGTGTTTTCTATTCCTGGATAAGTAAGATAGACTACATTTCCTTCCCCCTCTTTTTCATCCTGATTAAAAATTAAATTTAAATCTTCACAACACAACCATGGCCCCTTCACTAGCCTTGCTAAATGTTTCCATTTTTGGAGGAGGATCTTTCTTTTTTCTTTTTTGGCTCCCTATAAATGAAAGAGCAATGCCAATGTTGCCCTCCCATATCTTTAACCTTGACATGGACTATATTTTGGTTAGCACATAGAGTACCTTCTCTACAATTCCTTCTTTCCAAAACAAAGCTAAGCCTCCTTTCAACCCCTTGCATCACATCCCCAACAATTCTAGAGTTTTAAAAACTTCTATTTTTTCCTTACATTTAGGAGGGAGTTTTTGGTTTCCATTAAAAAAATGATGTCTAGATTTGATTTTTTTTAGTCTCTTTCAAAGCTCAAATTGTTAGGGTAGACTCAATTCCCTAACAATTCCAGCTTAGGATTTTCATTTCTCCCCTAGGGCCTGTTCCGGGATAGGTCCTTAAACCTACTCATTTGTTTCTATCTCTTTGTAATTGCCAAAAGTAGAGGTTCTTAGTGAATTCCTAAACATGGATTTTTCTCACCAACCTCATCCCATCAACCTACTTTTTCATTTTGACTGAGAGCTATAGCATGCTCTTGGGGGTTTTTGCCAACTATTACAATAAAGGGAGGTGTTTGGTGGTTTAAGAATTGAATGGCATAGCTTTTGGAAACCCTTTTGTACTGGACTAAAATATTTTGTGCTTTTTTGGATTTTCCTCATATTGATTTCGCTTAATCTGTTCACCCGAGTCTAGTTTTTTAACGTCATTTTTTTCCAATTACATTTTTTCCTTTCTATTTTCTACACCTTTTCTTTTGATAAACATTCATGAACTGAAATAGAATTATAAAGAAATAGAGATCTAGCATGATGACAAACAAATATGAAAGGAAGCGTTAGGTTTAGGAGTAACTTATCCTGTTGAGTCGAGCCATTTAAATCCCCCGAATTCAGGTTCAGATTGGTTTCCATGTTGTTTGTATCTAGATTCATACTATCCATGCTAGAATTAGATTTAGATCCATCTTCCATATGTTCAAAATTAATTTCTAGTTCCTTTGAGTTTTGACCCAAAATGGCTTCCATGTTTATTGGTTCCTGAACATCTGCAAAGATTAGAATTGGAGTCATGTTTTGGCTATGGATACTGGGGAAAACTTGACTTGAGATTGGGTCCAGGTCTGCTTCCTCTATCCTTACCCACTTTTCCTTGCGACCACTGAGATCTTTGACCCTTGAATATTTTGACAAGATTTCCCTTATTACAATATTTGAAGCATTCCTTTTCTTTTCCAAGAGGAATTCAAAGGCCATGTCATCTATACTGTCATTCAACATGATATTTTTTTCCTTTTTTTGAACAAAGAACATCCTTCGCCGAGCTTAGGTTGTGTTTGGAAGCTGTGTAAAATCCGGTTTGATGTAATTTTACACTCTAGTTCAGTTTTACAGCCGTTTGGTTGGAGTGTAAAATACAAATGAATATCGATGTAAACAAGCTTTTCGATAGATTTTTACATCGAGAATCGATGTAAAAAATACATTGAAAAAATTGATGTAAAAACATCTTCTTGTCTCTCCATCGATGTAAAGGTAGTTCTCCTAGTAATATTTCTCTTCCTCGGTGCCACTGCTTCTTCGGTGAGAGTGATTCTCTCTCTCTCTCTCTTTCTCTCTCTCTTTCTCCAAGAACAACTATTGTGGCAGCCACCATGACCTCAAACATCCAATTGTAGTTACAATCACGACTTTAATCGGTCGATGGTCACTACGATGCGACATCCAGGATTACGAGATGGAATTAGTCGGTTGGCGGTGAAAACCCAGACATGTCTTGGATAAGAGAGAAGCTTCTACAACTACATGGCTTGGAGTAGCGACAAAGAAGCTCTAGTTTTCGATCCCAAAACTGGAGTCTCAGTCTATAAGCCTAAATTATATGAAGCTCTTGTAACACATGCAACATAGTTCGATCCCAATTTGATTTTGTGTGGGTTTTCTTGTTACCAAATTTCGTCTAGAAATCCTACAAAGCTCTTGTTCTTTCCCATGTTTTCCCTTTTAATTTCTTGCAAATATTTAACACCGATTCATCATTCATCTATTGATTCATTGTAGAAAAATAGGGGTTCTTGTTCTATGATGAAAACGAAAGCATTTATCTCAGTTGCAGCTTTTTAGACTTTTGAAGATCATGCTCAATGTTGGACATGGAAAAAAGAGGAGAGAGACTAAGCAATCAAAGGCTTAAGCGACGCTACCTTTTACATTTCCAAACACACAAGAGTGTAAAAGGAGTATAAAGCCGGTTTGCTTTTTACACTCCGCACACAAACACAACATTAATGGTTGTTCACTTTGTCTTTGTAGATTTGCCATCTCAGCAAATCTGTGATCTCCTACTTGATTTGATTGAAAGGCCTCACTGGGCTTCTTGCATGTTGTCCTCATTAGTCACTTCATTCCCATCTATAGTCACTCTTAGACCTCTTCATGGGCCGGGTAGCTCGACGGCCCGACTCGTTATTTTTCGGATTTGGACAAAACTTCAGGCCCGTAGGGTCAGGCTTGGGCTTTAAATACTAGGCCCAGTCATTTTTCAGGTTTGGCTCGGGCTTTCTCAAATAAACCTAACCCAGGCCCAAGCTCGGCCCGATACTATTACATATAATAAAAAAACATTTATGTTATATATAATATATAACATATATTTATTTCTTAAATTATTAATAAATATTATTTTACTATTAGAAAATACAAATTAATTTATTAATAAATTAATATAATATTAATTTAGACATTTTTTATACAGGTCGAACTTCGGGCTTTATATAAGGGCCTGATGGTCGGGCCAGGCTTAGGCTCGGGCCTTCTGTTGATAAAGAGGCAAAGCCCAGCCCGGCCCATGAACAGGTCTCACTCCCAACTGAAGCTTGCCGGTATTGTCCCCTTCCTCCACCGGTAGTTGCCGGTGATCATTTTTCACCCGAGATAGGACCACATGCAGAGTGTTCCTATCAATCCGGGCCATGTTTGGATTTACCGCTTGAGATTGGATATCTTGGAACAACTTTCTCTTAACTTGTAGATTTGCTTACCGTGTGTAGTCGCCGGTCTGTAGTTCTTTCCGGTAACGCCTTCCTGAAATCCCGATCCTGCTCTTCATCATTTTGATCAAAGGGCTTATCAGGCCTAGCCGTCTGACTGTGAGTTTCTTCTTTGGTCGTTTTGTTAATGACTTTGAAGGCATTTCTTTTCTTGGATCCATTGAATGGTTCACCATTCTCTTAGTTAGTTGGTAAAAAAATTGTACATCCGAAATCCACGATGGCCCAGATAACCACACCGATTATAGAAGACTGGTAGCTTCTCATATTGGAATGAATACCAAACTTCTGTGCCATCTTCTTCACTGTGAATTGCCCAAGACTAAAGGGTTTCTGACATCTAATAATACTCTGATTCTATAGGCTCTTTCCCAAATCGGTTCTTCCTCCTCCTTCTAATAATCTTCTTCCTCCTTTGCCTTTGGTATTGGTATTCCTACCCCACTTACCATTTTAGCTCCCCACGCCCAGAATCTTTTCTCCATAGGGGCATCAAGTATTCTTCTTCCTCCTTTGCTCCCCACGCCCTTTTTACAGACTTCCTCTAGCTTACGACGACGCTCTCTAATCTGTTCATCTTCTTCTTGTTTGCTTTGCAGGTCCTCCATTGCGCCTTCGACGATTCTTCTGAGAACGGGATTGATTTACACTTGCAGAGAATAGGCTCTACCGAGCACTTCGCTTTGACGCACTGTAAGTAGAGCGTGCATCACTCTCTTGACCTGACGAATTTTGGCCCAAATAATATCATGTGATGTGGCTAGTTTATCAGAATCTCAAAACCGGGATCGAAACATTAGTTACATTACACTGGGCTGGGGTGCCTAAGACTGGGTTGGGGTAAAAAAAATAGGCCCAACGGCCCAACCAAAGCATCGTATATACGATTAGCTGCTTGAATTTGCCACGTCATCCTCCAAGTGCCAAATATACGGTCTGTCTACTTGTCTAGAACTCTCTCTCTCTCAAAAGAGCGGTCCCTTTCCCCCTCATATTCTCTCATACCCTATATTTCCCTCCTCGGAACCTCGCTTTTTTGGTCGAGATTTCGGCGAACACTTTAGATTTTCCGACCGATTCATCCCGGCTTCAGGG